TAAACATATTGATACAAAAGTTCATCATATGCGCGACTTGAATAACAAAGGAATAGTAAAACTTGCTTATCTTTCAACAGAGGAAATGGTTGCTGATATTATGACTAAACCAATTCCTAAAGCTAAATTTCAGTTTTGCAGGAATGAATTACAATTGGTATGAGTTTCATTAGCAAAACAGGGGCAATGTTAGCATAAATTTAGGTATTTTGCATAATGAAACTCGAAAGGCATACGAAACGAACGTGCGCCAAGGTATATATTGGCGAGAGAAAGTAAACCTCGTGTGCAATGGAGTATATTTGATTTTGACCCTAGCTACTTGTACCTGACCAAAGGTCTAATCCAGTAGTACTTTCTTCTCTTTCAGGTACGATGGCAAAGTATGTTCCTGTTTATTTTTCTTATTGCCTAAAATAGGTAAGCCTGGTGATTTAGGACTGATGATGATTCTCTGTAAGTTATTCTTTTCAATACTTCAGTGTTTTAATGTCCGTGAACATTATTACTTTTTGTTATGCTTAAGTTAAGCAAAATTATCCTATTTTATTAAATAAAGATTTCGTAGTTAATCTTTTGACTTATGATTCTTTAATTCTGTGCTTGAGGAAACGTACTCATTACGCCTTCAGTGCTAATGCACAACCAACAAGGAAATAGAGGAAACTATAACATACAGGAAACTATAACAAGCAACTTACTTAATCTAAAGTAAGTTGCTTGTTATAGTTTCCTCTATGACAGTCAACTAGTCTGGCTTCCATCCATTGACCATCTCTGAAAAATCCTAGGCCAACCACTTTATCAATGCACTTCAAAAATTACTGGAACATGAGCAATTCGTGAATTTATTTACTGATGAAGTTCGAATGAAAAAGGTGGCTTAGATAGAAAGAAAAATGAATTGGCTTTCTTAAGAATATTGAAAGTAGTGAAGCAACATCTGTTCAGTCTTTTATGATTTCTTTGTTATCAGATTATAAAGACATCATTGCATTAGTAATAATTCGCTTGTGCTAACTTTTCACAAAGTTACACGTTATTTAATTTACGTTGGCAAATATCAAGAGGATTTCAGGAAATTTTAAATTTTCTGCGACTTTTCATCTTCTGTTCTTTTTGTTAGATAATAATTGAAATGAATAAAAAGTACGTTTGCATACTTTTTGAAAACTCTGAAGTATTTATAGTTTTTAAAGCATTGGGTATATTATTAATCGTTCATTCAAGTTCTTAAAATTAAAAATGCAATAATGATTAATAAATAATTATATTGTGAGAAAGGTGTGGTGTGGTGTATTTAATTATGGCAAAGCACACGAGGGCTATCTGCCTAAAGGGAGGGATGCCTTTCGTGGAGGACTTTCTAAGGGAAACTGGCTCGTATACACGTTACACATATGAAAAACCACGAAAATGTCCATGCAGCCAGCCCGTTCACGGGATTCGAACCTCAGACCGAACTACCAGTGTTCAGCATCTTTACCGCTCAGCCCCTGGTGGGCATATTGTGAGAAAGAAAAATCAGTTTTATATCTTTTAATTGGTTAAATAGTGTTTATATTTTGTCAGTTATACTTTGGAATATTTCCTTGCCATTTCCTTCATCTGCGAAATTAAACCTGCAAAATTTGGGATCAGTGAAATCAACAGTAAGTTTTGTAAATATATATTTCGGAGTATTTACTGAAGAATTTTATATTAGTATTTAGTGGAATTAAGAAAAATCAAACTATAAAGATTTATATATGTTAATAAATAGCCACTTTTATTTATTTATTTATTTCAAAACTTTGTTCCTAAGCAAATCCTAAGAAATCATTTCTGTGCAGTATAAAAATAATTGTACAAAATATCGTAAAACATTGGATAGAAAATTTCGTGAATATTTCTTAAAATAGTAATTGTGAAGCTATTAGTCTTAACTATAACTGAATAAACGACCTTTCATATAGGTTTTTCCTTAAGTCTGTAGGGTTTATATTTATTTTAACTAACATTTATTTTAAGTTTAAACTATCTTTCCTGTCAAGCCTTACTTTCCCCTGGAATTGCCAATGCCAGAGTATGTAAATTTTAGTAGAACGCGCAAGGATTCAAATTATCAGCACAAGTATTCTGAGTTAAATAGAAAGGAAACGAGCTCGAAAGTGTGCTTTCTTACTTCACGAGCGTGGAGGTGGCTAGTTAGAAATTGAAGAACCACGCGTTTCGGCCTGTGTGCTTGCCTCGGCAGTTTGTTAATCTTTCAACGTAATATTCAGAAGTTGCTGAACTATCAGCAGTATTTTAGAACGCGGTGAGGTTAGTTCCGTTTAGAAAGCCTCGTAGTTAGTCCCTTGTTACTATTCTTTTCTTATTTTTATTTTACCGCCGGGTCGGCGTAGTTTGTGAGCGTCAAGAGCACGCATTTGTAATTTCTAAAGTTGAATAAAAAGGGATTTAAACCCTTCTCAAGACTTTGGTCTATTTCCAGTTCTCAGCAGTCACCACTTTGTTGCGTGCAGGTTGGAAGCGCGCAACTTTACAAGTCTCTGAAAATTAAATTTTGTGCATTATTTAACACAAGCGAATCTAAACATTTAACGACACGCGCATATTCAAACCTGAAGCAAAGTCACGGAAGACTCGGACGCCTTCCGTGACGTCACTCTGCAGCTAACCAGGCCATGTTCTTCCAGTTGGCCGTGGCCTGAGCCTAGGCTCTACACCTTGTAGAGTAAAATTTGGTTGTTTCGAATGTTAATGGAAAATAACCATTCAACTAAGCATTTAGATTATTACAATTATGCAACTTTTTATATATTAATTATTTTCAAGATACTGGCGTGAATAAAATATTCTAAATTATTAATTATCATTTTAGGTAATTAAGCTGGGAAAATCGACAAGCTGTAAGATGGACTGGCACAGAAGCAGTCGAACTGGTGATGCTGGGATAAATACATGGTAAGTTTTAATGCAAATACTCAGTAACCTGAATCCTTGTAAATAATATGATACAAAATAATATAACATGTGAAATACATACAGTGAGCAAATTTTAAATAATATATGTACAAACACAAGATGTAGAAGGTACTTAGATACATAAAAATGATGGCACTTATAAACAGTTGGTACGTAAACAACAGGATTTACATTATATTGGTGTTCAATTGGGCCAAGGGCATATCCATGTTAATTTGCCTGAGTACAATGTTATGGCAAGCTTGCAGTTTCTGTTTGTTAACCATTCAATTAGTTTCTGGTATGAGCACAGACTGGACTTTCATAACATAACAATGGTCTGAGAATGGACTTGTAAATAAGTAACTTGTTGTCTACAGATGTTCTACTACTGTTCCGAGCAATTAAGGGGTAGAGTTGTGCTTTACGAACCCCAAACTTTTGTATAATAGAAGTGAATTGTAGGGACCATGTAAGAGTATTATTGAGGATCACCCCAAGATATAGGACTTGCTTGGCCCATGGAATACTTTGGTTGTAGAATTACAGGTTACTTCGGATTCTGGTCTTTCTTGTGAACAAGACTGCCTTTGTCTTATCAATATTAACTGCAATTTTCCATTTGGCTAGCCATATCTCTAGCGAATGTATTTAGTTTTTGAAACGTTGGATGACTATACCAATAAATGCACTTTGTGCTAGGATCGCTGTATCATCTGCATACACAGTAAGTGTTGTGTCATGTGTAGTAGGAATGCCATTCACGTAAATATTAAAATAAGTAGGTCCAAGCAAGGATCTCTGGGGGCCCCTGCTGAATGGCAACATTCTGAGAATTAATTCACTATGTTCCGCGCCGTGGCAACACTTGCAAGGGCTGCTTCTAAGAGTAAATTATTTCTGTTCTACTCATCCATCAGTCTCCGAGGTATGCTTCTGTCTAAAGATTTTATTTTCCTGTTTTTCAAGACAATTTTTTTTTTATAATGTGTAGAAACAAACGCTCTCCTTAAAGTATAATAAACCACTCAGATTAATAAATTTAATTATATCGTATTAAAGTTAATATACATACAAGATAATTATAAATGCAGTTACAATTACATTGCAGGTGTAATTATAATATAACTGCTATTATAAATAGTTAACTTACAGTGATCTTATAACCCAATTAATTAGTTTCACTGAAACTGTAAATTTTACAGCAACAGTTACACTGTGATTCAGTTATTTATCAAATTTATACTACTCAGCTGAGCCGATCTGTCATGCAACTGAACTATAAAGTGATAGTTAAAAATAGATAACTGACGCGTTAACGATAAATCGTAAAATTAAAAATTATAAAAATGCATCAATAAAAATGTGTGTGTTTTCGTACTTTATCACACAAAAACGAAAATATGGAGACTAGTTTCTTTAATTGATACTGACTCGTGCGTGTGTGTGGGGAGTAGCCAAATGATGGAAATTGAAGATTTCGTACCTATTTTCCACTACAACCAACCTCTTCAGGTCATTTTCGACTGGATATACTTTAAGTGTCCTATACATATAAGTAAAAATCATCCATACCTTATCTCCGATTAGAATCAGAGACCATTGGGGGGTGGGAATCACTCTTCCACTAACCATTATATCATTTGAGGAGACCCTATAGTGAGACACGTCACATCAAATTGAATTATATTAAGCAAAGTTAAAAAAATAGGGGCAACTCCTGAAATGTGATTTAAAATATTGCTGTCGAAAGCCGTGTCCCTCACCAGGAGATGCTTCATAAATGTCTGAAAACGATTTTTGAAAAGACATTTATTTTGGTATGAGTATGTTTACCCAGTCAAAACAAATTCTTTGTTTTTCGTCAGGTTAAAAATTCTCAAAAAGTTAGCCATTTTTTCGCCATAAGAAAGAGAAAGCCGAACGCTACTGAACGGATTACTTGTAAACTATTTGAAATGGTAAAGATCATTTAAAGATCAACAATAAAACATATATTCTCTCACGAAATACCATTTTGACTGTAAAGTAAATTGCATCTCCAAACTTACCTGCGATGATACCTCCAAAGAGAGCTCCTAGTGCGAGTATGCTACCAATCCAAGCTATTTGACCTTTATCGGGGTGTACAGGACTACTTTTCCTTTTCATATCAGCGGTCGCTGATGCTGAGTAACCACAAGCCATTCCCACTGCAGTAGCAAACGACAAAGCTGCCGCGGCTGCGATATACATTTTTCGGAATCCATGCTTATTTTCGATTTCACTTTTGGAGTCAGCGTTAACACGCATAGTTTCAGTTTTAATTTCGATCAGTTTCAACCTGAAAATGAATCCATCTAAAAAGAAATCAGCTGCACTACTTTTATGAATTTTCTGATTAGAGACGTCGCAATTTTTTGAAGCATTAATCACCTTTATCTTATCGTATTATTATCATATATATTGAAAGCGCGAGTCACAACCGGAGAACAAGAATAGATGTTACACAGTATAAATCAGAGTGTTTTGCAGATCAGTTATGACGCTGTTGAAAACGACGCGTTTTATTATAGCTTCGTGTTTATCACTTCTTTTAAATAAATACTACCTGTTTTCATGTTTATCTTTAGGTTAAAAAAACGCGTTAAATGAGAACACTAACTAGAAAACTTCGATGTTCAAAGAGCATAAGCTTTCTGTGATACAGATTTCAGAAATCAGACACGAGAATCCATAGCTGATAAAAACAACTACTGTTGTAATTTTAAACGACTGTAGTCGATAATGTTTTCGTGCGGGGAATGTAGTTGTAAAACATTTCGTCACAGTCAAGAGATTCAGCTAGTTAAATGAAATGTAAGAAGAGAATTACTTCTCAATAGGCAACTGCAAAGGCAAATTTGGTGTGTGATTTCAGAGCAATTAAGAAAAATTTCCCCCATAGTCGTATATTTCTGGATGTAGAACCCTTTGAGTGCTGAAATATTGTGCAGCATTTATAACAGCAAACACACCAAAGTACAATTGGACACGTACAATTGATTATGACGGTCTAAAGTACTTCATTATAGATGGGGAAAACTGCGAAAATAACTGTGTATCCAATCTCTCTAATCGAGATCTGCCCTTCCTAGCAGTAGCACATAGATATATTGTTTAAGCAAAGGCTGACTTTTTTTCCAAGCATCAAAATACGAATTCGCTCATTTTCTGCGTTTTAATTTACGGGAGTAATGTATCAGTTTCCGAGAACATCTAAGTTTATATCTATAAAAGGAAATATAGCTTACTTCTACAAGAAAAAAGAACGAGGTTATTTATACGGCAAATTCGATTAGACATTCTTCATCTAAATTTCGGTATTTTATTTGACAAGCTTAACGGTTACATTGCTATTATAACGATTATATTATACACTTTTGTGTTAAGTCCTGTATTTATCAACATGTAATCCCTTTAATTAGCTGGCACGTATTGTGAAACTAGAAGAGAAAAACTTTCTTTTTATGCATTATTTTCCATACGATTATATTCTGAATTAAAACTTGCAACCCTATTAATTTCATCTTGAAAGGAATAGTGATTAGCGAAGGCTGACTGCTAGTTTGAGTTCCGGGGTGCAGGTAGACTACCGGATTTCAAGGGCTTGAATTTCTGTAATTCCTGTGTGCTGCCCTTCCTTTCTTAGTATATTGATTTACCGCCTATGTTTCACCTTCGCAATGATGAGACTGCTAAAATACCTATGAGTTAGAAGTCACTCGACGAATTAAATTAAAAAATTCGCCACATTCGTGTAAAAACATTCGCCGCATAATGCTAACAAAAGAACTTTACCGGAAGCAAATCTATTAAAATTTATGCGTATAAAGTTACGTGACATTTTAAAGCTGTAAGGTATTTGTCAGAGCAGGAAACAGGAAAATTAGCAGCGCTTTTGCCGGAATTCGAACTCGGGATTTCAGTTTATTAGCCGAAAATGCTTTCCAGGTATATCCCGTAGGCACGAGATTAAGAAAAACAAAATTCCTTACATTCTTCCGTACAAGAGGCGACTAAGGTGGATGGACGAAGTCGCCAAATCCATGTGGTATCGAATTATCGTCCACCATATTTAGCTCTTGTGCCACTCTAAGGGCAGTTATAATGTTTTTGGAGCTGAAAAAGAGGAAAAGTCAGCTTTGCTCTACGCGGGATGCATATTTCACAAGTGCACATCAGTGTAGCCACTGAGGGAGAGGTTTCGAAAATGGATCAATGAGCTGCTATTGCTGAGATGATCAATGAGCTATTGTGACGCTAAATCTTCGTGCGTGTGAGCGTATGTTGTTTACGTTTTAATTTGCATTTGTTTCGCAGTTATAAATATATGGCGTAATAGTAGAAAATCTCGTAGTGCTTTCGTTTTCTGAGTTTGATTAATCGCTAACATTTGACTTTCGCGATTTTTATCACATATTAATATTAGGATACGGCATATTATGTGGATTAAGAGAATTCAATTGTATATATATATATATATATCTATATCTTAATTGAGCTGAGGATGACTGAAAGTATTACAATGAATTTACTGGTTTTTTTTTTTTTTTTTTTTTTTTTTTTTTTTTTTTTCAGTGCTTGTATTCTTTTGATTTTTAAAGTGTAAGATTCAGAACCCATATGATCTGATTATATCCATTGTTAACATTAAAAATTATATATGAATAAATTGAATATACTCGTTGTGAATACGATAAATTCACTCTGTTTGATGAGTATTTCTGGTGTAGACAGTACATTTCAGAGTGAGCATTTATTAAATGTGAAATTTAACGCACTAAATGTATACGAATGCAAATTAGTAAATTTTACTTTAAATAAAATTCTGCATTGGTTAATATTATAGAACATCTTTTTCATATAGACTGCAATAAAAAGTACTGACTTCTATTTACATATATAATTGATATAAGTATTTTTCTCATACGCATAGTTTTATGTAAAGATTGCATTTGGGCTCAGATGTTTATCACATATTTCTTTCTTCATTTTATTTACCACTTATTAAGTAATATTTCACATCGATATTTTTGCGAAGTATCCAATATGTGTTTGTATTTATTTCAACCAGGTAGTGAAATCTTCATAATTTCCAATATTTGATCTAACTTCGCAATGGAAAGTTTCAGAAGAAATCGACGATGCTTTAATTATTATTTTGTAACGAAAATTGCGTGGCAGAATATTTTCAACCATCTTGCTTAAATCTTAAAGCATGCGAAAGGTCATGTGACATGACAGAAATATTACTGGATGCTTATTGGTCCATCGTCTAAGCCATTCCCTCGGCGGCTACACAGATGTGCGCTTGTGAAATATGCCCACGGGATTCGAAATTGTTCCGACTGCTAGCCTGATGTGCTTCAAATTACAACACGAAATCACCCGCTAAGGAAGAAGAAAATTCTTTACCTCTTAATGTCTGGTAAGAAATTTATTAAACAAAGAAACAATAGCACATTTATTCGTTAAGATTCGATCCTGAAATATGGTTTTTATTTTATCTCTATCTTACCTTTATCAGTTTTACATTACGAGTTCAATTACGGACCTAATCTTTTGAACATAAGGCCTTTATTCCCGCGGATGAATATGCTATTACTGCACTGCTGAATCTATTTTTTCAGTTTTCTGAAGATAGTTTCTTCAGACCTTGATTGGTCTTCTTATATTTTCTACCTTTTTGTTTAGAATGGGACAGTGTTTTGGCAATGTGCATCGTCGATTACGTGCGCCGTCGTCTCTTTTTTTGGGTATTACTTTTGTCAAGCGTTACTGTAAAATGTTTGGATGGCTCTTCTAACAAGCTCTCAATGCCATTCAATATATTTCGGAGAGTTATTGCTTAAGATAATTAAATTAAGCTCTGATTAAAAGTTCTAAATATCTCCAAAAAGTAAAGCAAACTTAAATTTATTGCAACTACACTTTTTGTTGCCACCCAGACGTTTATAGTGGTTAGGGGAGCCGACTGTGGTACCAAAGAGCCCGGGCTCGAATCCCGAAGAAGACATTGTTTTAACTGTCCGTCCCCTCATAGGAGGCAAAGGTGGCCCACCTATTAGGTGCCTCCATAATAAAGGGACCACCACTTCTGGCCTTAGTAGTGGCTAATCCGAAGTCGGCTGAGGGCCCACCATTGGGGGGCAAACCAATTTGCGTACATTTTTTTAGCTTCAAACCCAGGTAATAAAAGGCTGCATCTCACAGATCATAACAGAAATCATAACAGAACTGATATCATAACAGAAAGGTTTACGTAACAATATATAATATACACAAAACTGAATTAAAACTCAAGAGAACACCTAAGGATGTCATTAATATCTCTGAATGTAATACATTATTCCGGACTTATCTCACGGAGGTTTAATTTCTTGACGCAAATGAACAGTTGTTACAATTTACCAATGAGAGATTGCCGTCGATAAAAACACTGAATACCTTCACAGATATTAAGTTAAGCCTATTTTTGTTACATCACAAATGAATCACTGCACATTCTATTTAAGACGTCTTGTATTTCAGCAATCGAGGGAGCAAGTGAAATAAGAGTAGACAGGATATGATTAGAAAGAAAAAAAGGGAGGCTAACTAAATTAATTAAAGTAAAATCACGAAATAAACCCTGTGCCAAAATTATAAAAATTATTTATTCCTGTTGATGCTGAAATAAATAAATTTTCATGTTGTGAGAGCACATTAAGAATTTATCTTAGTAATACCTCATTTTCAAGCTTTCATTTAACTGAGTGTTAGATTTTTTTTATTGCTGTTTTATAAACACACAAAATCAAGATAACTTGCCAAAAGGTTCCCGAAATTTATTTTATATCACTATTTATTACACAATACTAACATCAAAAACAACTTAAAGTAGTTAGATTAAAATAAGAGAAACAATACCTTCTTTACCTTTAACAATGCTTGATTTTCAAATGTAGTATCAAGCATTTTTTCGACCCTAATCTAAATAGGTCAGATAAGATAAAGCAAACTTGGGCTTTTGTGTTAATTCTGTTATCTTAAACTCTAAAATATAAAGCAAAATAAAATGCGTTGAAACTTGAATGGAATCTGCATGAGGTTTTATACAGTTAAAAACCTTATACGATTGTTACTGGATAGGATCGAACTTTTTATAAAATTGGCCGAATAACTCGAAGCTGGTAGCATTGTCCGACATTCAGCGTAGTTTTCCGCGAGTGCATTCCCTAAGGAAATCCTCAATTAATACAAACTTCTTTCCTATTTGATGATGGCCCAACAACGGCCGAGTCATAAAGTCGCTGAACACTGGTAGTTCGGTCTGACACTCGAATTCCGCGAACGGGCCGGCTGCATGGGAGTTTTTGTGGCTTTCCTCATGTGTAAGGTGTATACGATCTAGTTACCCTTAGAAAGTCCTCCATGAAGGCATTCCTTCCCTTAGGCACATAGCTCTCGAGGCTTTTCTATAATCACATTAAACCAAAGAAACCAAACCCATCTGATGATTCCGATATTCTATCGAATACATTGTTACATATCTCATAATCTCATTTCATATAAAATACGTTTATTACAAGTAATACGCATGTAGCATCAAATGCAATAAAATATGTTACAAGT